TATCCATACGACGCATCCATACGACGCTAAGAGAATGGACGTTTGGTATTGAAAAGTCCCGCCTTGAACATGTGGGCCCGTATTTGCTTGGACCATTGGGTAAGGCAAAACAGTACTGTCTTGTTCAAGCACACGCATCCCTGAAAAGGTCAGCACTATTGATGCTGGGGGTACTTAGGCAGAGTGAAGATGCCTCTGAGGGTGGTGAACGCCTCTTATAACTTGGGCTAGTTCTCATTGTTGGAGTTAAATTAACTCCCTTTCTACCTTTACCTGTCGTTCTATTCCTTACTTACCAAGCTCCAATATACCCTTGTACAATGCCACCCGTCGGGAATCATTACATGCCGCCCAATCCTTCGGCTCACATTCATCTGCCGCCCCCGCCTGGGTGGAGGCCACCGACCGCCATCCCGCCAAACGCTATCCCTCCAATCGCTATCCCACCACTGCAATTATGGCATAATGTTATCTATGACTGCATGCGACGAGTACTGGTAGAGCACGGCTGCACCCATGCGTCAAGTAAGCCTGTTGGATTATCGAGCGAAGATGCCGAAACCTTGTTATCTACGTTTCACAGGACTCTTAAAGCCTCGATGCAGAAAGAGTTGTCATGTATCCGTACGATACTAAACGAAAACAATACATCCTCGGATTCCACAGCAACGAGTTCTAGCATTACGGCGGAAGATATCAAAGTTATTATAAGGCAGGAGATCCAGAGCTTGCGCGAGTTTAAAGCCCTAGCGCAAGGCCAACCACCAGATTTACACTTGAAAGGTGCAGTTCAGTCACTTGAGAGAACTGTGGAAGATTTAAAAGATATGCTCGCTCAAGACCGAGCGAAATATTGGTCTGAGATTGAAGCTTTACGAGCAGAGCAGTTGTCAGCATTCCAGCGCGGACCGGCGCTTGATACCTTGGATAAACCGTCAAAAACAGCGCAAGAAATCAAGGGTTGTCTGCAAGAGATCCGGGGTCTTCTGGATGGGGCTCAAGAAACGAAACTACCTCAGCA